AACATAAGTGCACCACATCCCCCACACTCACACACGCTCCGTGTAGAGTGGGCATGGACAATAGTGAGGAAGGCTCTCCCCGCCTGCCGGCAGGCGGGGAGAGTCCTCCAGCCCTGTATGGGGCTGATTGTACACCATGTCTCCCGAGTCCCTCAGGAGCATGGGAAAACACAAGTGCTTTATGTCCAGGGGGGGGGGGGGTCAGATACCTGCTGACCCACAGCCACCCCCCTCTCACCAGTCATGCGTTGCCCCGGCAAGCACAGATGACGAGAAGGAGCCAGACATGTCCAGGAGATAACATTTTATGAAGGGGCCTGGCGTAGACCAAGACGCCGCCGTGCATATATCTTCTACACTCACGCCGCTGAATAAGGCTGTTGACACAGCCACAGCCCGTGTAGAATGTGCACGGACCCCAGTGGGGAGGGCTCTCCCCGCCCGTCCATAGGCATGTGTAATGCACCTGCATAGCCATCCTGCTAGGCGCTTCTTTGAGAGGGCTTTTCCAGCCACACCATCCCTAAAGCACACAAACAGTTGTTCAGTGCGCCTAATGGCAGCCGTGCGCTCTACATAGCATGCTAGCGCACGCACTGGGCAGAGGAGGTGCAATTTAGCCTCCCTGGCCCCAATATGGGGTGGAAGATTAAAGCCACCTAACTGAATAGCCCTTGATCTGAATGAACTTCTGATACTTTTAGGAGTAAAGGAGAGGTTCGGCCTGAGTGTCGCCCCGCTACGGTCACCCCGGATCAAAAGACAACTTGGGTGTACCGACAGAGCGGTCAGCTCGGACACTCTTTTAGCCGAAGTCAAGGCAATTAGCAACGCTGTCTTCCATGACAGTGCTTCCAGGGAGGAAAGCTCCAGAGGCTCAAATGGTTCTGTGACCAGAGCCTCGAGCACCAACGGCAGGTCCCACTGTGGGGCGGAGGCGTGCACTACCGGGCGCTGCCTCCTGACCCCCTGCAAAAACCGCGTCATAAGCGGCTGACTGAAGGCTGACCTGCCTCCAAATCCCTCATGGCAGGACGAAATGGCTGCTGCATACACCTTACTTGTGGAATGAGCCAGCCCCCTGTCCACCAGTATCTGTAAGTAGGTAAGAATAGAGCCCAGCGTGCACGACAGAGGCTCTAGACTCCTTCCTTCACACCATCGCCGGAATCCCGCCCACTTTGGCCTGTAACAAGCTGTGGTGGATTCTGCTCTTGCTGCTTGGATAGTCTGAATAACGTTATCCGACAGCCCCACCTGTCTCAGCCTGTCCCTCTCAGGAGCCAAGCCTGGAGAGGTTGGCCCAGAGTGGGTAACGCCCCTATTGCACCTGCTTCCTGAGACAGCGCTCCCCAGACCTGAGGAATCGCCCAGGGCTGGCCCACCATCATCTGTGTTACCCCCGCGTTACCACGGCGCCAGGCGGCGATCTGGGGCCACCAGGATGATTGACAGCTGTTCCCGCCTCACCCTCTCCAGGAGGGGGGGGATAAGGTGCAGCGGTGGAAAGGCGTAAAGCAGCTTTCTTGGCCATGGCTCGTGTGCAAATGTGTCGACCCCCAAGGGCGGGTTGTCCCACCGAGCCAGGGAGAACCACAGGGCACAGTGGCTGTTGCGCCGATTGGCGAACAGGTCCACCTCTGCTCTACCGAACTGAGTCCAGACCTGCTTCACCACCACCGGGTGAAGCCTCCACTCGTCTGGCAGGGGTCCGCCTCTTGACATGAGGTCGGCCCCCCTGTTCTCCCGTCCCGGGATGTGAAGAGCCCTTAGAGACAACACAATCTGTGAAACCCACAGCCACAGGTTCTCTGCTGCGGTCAACCAGGCTATTGAGCGGACTCCGCCCTGCCTGTTGATGTACGCCACTGTGGTGCAGTTGTCGCTCCTTACTAGCACATGTTTGCCCTGTATTAAGGGTTTGCAGTGCTGTAGGACCAACATCACTGCTTGCAGCTCCAGGAGGTTGCTGTGCCGCCAGAGGCCAGCAACCACCCACAGCCCTTTCTAGACACGTCCCCCCCCCATCCTGTCACTTTCTTTTTCTTTGAAGCGTCTGTGAAGACTGTGATATAGGAGGTTACCTGCCCCAGTGGAGCTCCCCTCCGCAGATTCTCTGGGGACCCCCAGAATCGGAGGTTGCTCTCTACTGAGGGGGGGGGATGGCCACCAGACGTCGTTTGTGTCTTAAGATCTAAACGAAGGCCGGTAAACCACATCTGCATGCGACGTGCATGCAGCAGTCCGAGTGGCACTACGGAGTGAGCAGCCGTCATGAGACCCAAAGTCTGCATGATGATCAAAGCTGTCACCGTCGCCCCCTGACGCAGCCTGCAGACTGCCCGCAGCAGGGATGCCTGTCTGCTTTCTGTCAGGGTGACACGTAGTCTGCCTGCATCGAGCATCACCCCCAGATATTCTACCTGCTGGTGAGGTATGGGGGAGCTCTTCTTCCAATTGACCGCAACTTCTTTTTCAACCCAACTTGGTTAGGTGTAGGATCAATTGGGCTGTGTGCAGTATTGCCCATTCCCTGGACCTGGCCATAACTATGAGGTCGTCCCTCATGCCATGGTCCCGCAGCAGTTGCAGCGTCGTGGCTGAACGTGCGTGGGGATAGGGAGTAGCCGAACGGCAGTCTGTTGTACTCATAGGCTACCCCCTGGAAGGCAAAACGCGAATACTTTCTGTGCTCTTGGAGCAATTTCGCCATGAAAGTAAGCGTTATTCAGGTCGATGGTTGTGAACCAATCGCCTGGCTGCACCAGTCTCAGTAACTGTTTCATAGTTAACATATGGAACTTCTTGCATGCAATGTGCTGGTTCAGGCATTGAAGATCCAGAATGGGCCTGAATTCTCCTGTCTTCTTGGGAACCAGGAAGTACAGGGAATAATGCCCCTTCTCTCTGACTTGAGAGTGCACATGCTGAGAGGAAACCTCCTCCTGGGATGACAGATGTGCCTCTCTCCTGCCTCTGAACGGAGGAGGGATGCTGCAAAACTGGAGTGAATAACCCAGTCTCAGTGTCCTGTCCATGCGCTCTGTTAATACACCACTGATTTTCCATTCCCCATAACATTGTGTTAGGGGATGTGCAATCAGCTGCGGCGCCGCAGCTATGAAGCTGTGGTACTCTCTGGTGGCCCACTCCGCCGTCAAACCCTCCATAAAAGGAAGTTTGACCCATGGGGGGCTGACACAGAAAGGGCCGTTTTTCTATAATGTAGTTTCCACTCAGAGAAAAAAACGGCCGATTTTGAACTGAGGTCCCTGAACGCACCACGGCATGCTCCCGTGAGAGCGCGCACTCCACCATAATGCTGTTTTCCCTTAGAGAGAAATAAGCATTAATCGGAGCTTCTTCTGTCCATGAATGCACCGCGGCCCGCTCTCGGGGGGGGGGGGGCGCGCGTCGTCATAATGCCGTCTCTTGAAACGGACATTAAATGCAATCGTTTTTACTGAATGCATTTTACACACACATAACACTTTAGAACTAGAGTTACACTACGTAACGCACTGTTCTTCTGCGGAGGTCCCTGAACGCACCGCGGCCACTCTCACGGGGGCCGCGCCTCATAATGGGTGTCCAATTAACATCGTATGAAAACGGCCTTGCCGATCTCAACGAGACATTATGGGAAAATGTGGAATTGTGGAGAGATATGACTCTTACTCTGGGATAAATGCAATCGTTTTTACTAAATGCATTTTTCACACACACATCACTCTTAAACTAGGGTTACTATATACGTAACCCACCGTTCTTGCAACAGGGCCTCTTTTCGACTTTGGAGCCACAGCTAAGAAGCTGTAATATTCTCTGGTGGCCTACTCCGCTGCCAAACCTTCCATAAAAGGGAGTTTTGGCATGGGGGCTGACACAGAAAAAGGGGCCGATTTTCTACTGAGGTTCTTGAACGCACCGCGGCAGCTCCCGTGGGGCCGCGGCTCTGTCAACTGCCATCTCTTTGAAACGGACATTATGGTGAAAAAATGGAAATGTGGAGAGAGATGACTCTTACTCTGGGATAAATGCAATCGTTTTCACTGAATGCATTTCTCACACACACATCAATCTCTTGAACCCGCACAGTGCTTTGACAGCACTACGGTTTATTCCACTCACGTGCACGCGCCCACCTGCTGGCTCCTATACTGGAGTTTACAGAGGGGGCGGGGAGTGTGGGACAGTGTTCTTTCCGATCCAAAGAGCGCTTCCGTAAACACGGGGGCTCCCAGGAGATCAACACGGTCCTTTTTGAAAAGTGCCATGCGGCGTGATCCCTCACCGGGATACCACACGGCAGACAACGGCGGCGGCCCCAATCAAGCTACAAATAATCGCTCTGATCTGGCGAGGTGGGGGCATCTCCAGCAATGAGCGAGATGCCCAACACACCCGTGTTTATCTGCAGTCGCCCTATCCCGCGGTAGCGTGGCAGAGCTCTCTCCCTGCCCAGCCTGCTGCCCGCTGGGAGCAGCTGCGCTCCGCCGCCATGGTCATCACCTAGGGCGGTGGACCTCCATGGACCGAACCCGGAAGTGCCCGACAACGGCAAACGGAGCCATTCGCCCCGCTGGAATGGCGAACGTGAATGGCGAACGTGAATGGCACCGCCTCGGCCATATCCTGGTCCCCCAAACACTCTAACAGAGGTGGTGGAGATCGGTGCCCGCGATCAAACCAAGGCAGGTGGGGCATGGCCGAGATTCCAGTAATGGTGAGTCCATTTTTCGTTTCTTCTAATCTTCGTACGTTTATTTAACTCTTCGGTTGTCAGCTCGTCTGAAGAGAAAAAGGATAGTGGGGCGGCGGCTGTAGCCGCCTTATATACTGTGGGCCTGCGCGCGCATTCAGGTAGGCTCGCCCCGATTGGCCGGCTACGTTTACGTAGATTCAGTAGGTGAAAGCACGCACAGCATGATAGAGAGTAGTACCCATAGAGTCCAGTAGAGGGCGGAGCCTGTGAGAGATATAAGTGTGTGTGTGTGTACCAGCTGCAGGTTTCTTCTTCTCAGTCACTGCTCCTGAGTCAGCTGCAGGTTTGGTCCCTGTGAAAGTAGAAGCTCTAAATATTCATATCACCTGAACATGATCCCTCTTTAGGAGATCCTCAGTGATGTTCAAAAGCATTGATCCGATTGGTCTAAAAATAAGGCCTTAATTACGGTTAAAGGAGTTAAAGATCACCTATTATGCTATATTTGAACAATATATTATACATAACTATACAAAACATGTCTCTCAAGTGTTATGCTCAAAATACCAAACAGATAATTGTAGCCTCATCCTCCTCTGTTTCAGCCCTGTTACTAAAGTGCTGATTCTGGCCCTTTAAATGTAACCCGCCCGCGGGGACAAACACAACAATATTCACGAAGCTGTGTCTCAGGCATGGGCGTCGCAGACAAGTCCCCCCCACCTTTTAAAATGATTAGTTTAGACCCCCCCCACTTTTACTATGCGGAACGTCCGTGAATCGGTCTATCCACTCGCCGCTCTTTGTAGAGCGCTGTGTCAGTGCTTCATTATCAAATCCATTCCACTTGCTTATTGAGAGAATGCCCAAATCAATGAAACTCCGTACCATGTTTTCACTGCTACTTTGTACCAAGGCAGATTCTCAGAGCCGTGCACAGGAGCCGTACACATGCTGCGTGTTTTGTGTAGCTGTGTCTTTAGTTGTAAAATGATGCGCGCCAGTTTCCACGCTGCGAGGCTCCGGCGCTAACAGTTCACGAGCGTGCTCCACTAGCACCCGGATATAAGGCGCTGTTATTAAAGAGGTGGAGGGAGAGTCCTCTCCTGTCAGACTGATAACTACAGCTCAGTGAGTTGAAGGACTCTCTGAGAGGTGGAGGGAGAGTCCTCTCCTGTCAGACTGAGAGGCTGATAACTACAGCTCAGTGAGGTAAAGGACTCTGATGCGGCTTTCACACCAGCGCTTTTCCCTTTCTAGCTCCTAGCGAGAGCTTTTCTGGTTCAGCTCCGGTTTCCCTTTTCAGCTCCCGCTCTGTTCACACTGCCCAGAGCTGCCGCTGCTGCGTCATGACGTCACAGTTTACGTCGCTGATTTTCTCCCACAACAACAACGGGCCGGGGACTGCGTCGGGTCGATGATCGTGTTGCTTTTAATCATACGAAGCCAGATTAAATTAAATAACGACTTCTCCAACCTTATACTTTTCTCCAGAGTGCCGTGGTTCATTGTTTATTAATGTGTTTCAGCGGCATTTACCGACCGCTGCAGTGCTGGCTGTTCTTCCACGGGAGTTTATTCTCCCGTTAGCTCACACGGCTCTAAAGTATTCACTGTCTGACTGTCACACAAGCAGCTGATACATATCCCCAGTTCCCCTTAAGTGAATGTGTGTCAGTCTGAATTGACGCTGTTTGGCATCACAACGCTGTTATGAAAGTTTCTCTGGTATAACATGGGTGATGTTAGCATAGCAACCGAAGCTAAACTGACTACTTGCTAAGCCGTTTTCTACAGGCACATTTTACCGGCGTATTTTTCATTATGATTCTACTTGTGATAGTCGGACAATGCAACCTGTACAGCCCATGTATCTCCACAATGATCAATAACAGCGAACGGATGGTCAAAGTAAGGTTTCCTGCACGCCTCGACGTAAGCGACGCCGCGTCATAGCTCCGAAGCTCTTGCCTCTGGACCGACTGGACTGAGAGGCTGATAACTACAGCTCAGTGAGGTAAAGGACTCTGAGAGGTGGAGGGAGAGTCCTCTCCTGACAGACTGAGAGGCTGGTAACTACAGCTCAGTGAGGTAAAGGACTCTGAGAGGTGGAGGGAGAGTCCTCTCCTGTCAGACTGAGAGGCTGATAACTACAGCTCAGTGAGGTAAAGGACTCTCTGAGGGTTTAGATCAGGGGTGTCAAACTCAATTTCATCGCGGGCCACATCAGCATTATGGTTGCCCTCAAAGGGCCGGTTGTAATTTTAACACTATATAAATATACATATATAAATATCAAAATAATGTTTTATACTGTATAACAATATTGCCTCTGCATTGGAGTATTATTGGTTTTGGCAATAACTACGTCTGAAAGCACATGGTTGTGCATTAATGTATTGTGCACGTAGACACAAAAATACTGTATGTGGGCTCAGACTAACATTTCACTCTCTTACTGTTACATAAATCCCATGAATTTATGAAATTTAGTTAGCCTCATCATATCTTATCAAAAAGAGATACAATGTTTGTGAAATCTATTTTTTGTGAATAATAAAGTATTTTTCTTTTGTATATCAAGCATTATTTAAGTAGGCTATATTTCATTTGAATTCAGCAATAATATTTGAATAGTCTGAAAGCCAAGACTTTGAGAACCCCCTGTCCCAGATCCTGCTGTGTTACTATCACCTGTCACTCACTATTTCAGTAAGCAGTGAGTGGGGGGGGGGGGCGGCGGCGGCGTGTTGAGGAGGAACAGAGTGAGAGGGGACAGGGATCGCGGAAGTTTTCCTCCTTCCTTTACAAACTTTACACAAGTATTTATAAGTATTTATCGTCTGAATATAGCAAAAAGACGTTCATACTCTGCAAGCCAAGACCTCATATATTGTAATCAACCAGAAACCGGAAATAACCGTAACGCGAGTTTTTCTAAAACATAATAAATCCATGTGTGTCTCTGAGCCGCAGCAACACCGACTGATTCTTAAAGAGCGGGTCATTCTGTCTGTTTGTTCTGGGACTGGAGTTGCTTGTCTCGGTTGCTGAAGCAGACTTTGCTCCGTGTTTGGTGTCTCTGTGCCGCTGTAAATTATGTTCCTTCAACTCTGTGTCACTCACAGTCACACACTGGTCACTCACCGCCTCAGAGTGCCGCTGCTGATAGGAAGTCGCTTCAGTGCGCACGTCACAAAACGAAATGCATTTTGGGACATGCAGTTTATGGGCAACGTGCTTAAACGGCATGTAACCGTATAATAAACTGTTTATATTCTTTGCGAGCTCTCGCGGGCCACATAAAATGACGTGGCGGGCCACATTTGGCCCGCGGGCCTTGAGTTTGACACGTCTGGTTTAGATAGTCGAAGTAGTGGGTCTCAAACGGTTTGGTAATCATTTATGTAAACAAGTATTTCCAAGGCACACGTTTATATGATTATTATAGTTATAAAAAACAAAAGAATAACAGGTATGAACAAGTTCCAACTCATACTATAGGACAGTAACACAAGAATACAGTTTGAAAGGGGAGTGATTTGTAAAATATGCATAAAGAAAAAGTAAATCTGTTTACAGGTCTGTTTCATATGGTGTTGTTGAGTTGTTGAACACCTTTTTTAGCATCCTTTCAAACTGTAAACAATTTATCAGACGACTGGTAGACTTGAAAAACTGAATTAAATATACAAAGAATAGACACTGAACACAATACTATTATTTTAAATCAGAACAGAGACTACATTCAAAGAACATTAGAACATCAACAAGAATAGTCGTGTGTGTGTGTGTGTGTGTGTGTGTGTGTGTGTGTGTGTGTGTGCCAGATGTGGCTAACATGGGGTGATGGGCACATAAGTGTGCCCATCACACACAAACACATTAGATGTGTTTGTGTATGAGAGCTATCAAAAACAGGGAGATACATTATTAAATTATGTATCTTATGTAGTTTTTTTAAAGTCAGAATTTTGAGAAAAAAGTCAGAATGTTGATATTTTTTTGAAATAAATCTGAATTTTTAGAAAGAATTCAACATTTTGAGATTTCTTAAAAAAGAAACATTTCGAATTTTGAGGAAAACATTTAGTGGCAGAACTCCCCTTCAGATGTTCTCAGGGACTGTCATTTGGATGATTCTGTTTCCTTGTATTTCAGCCTCCACTGAGAGCGGTATTCTTTCAAGGAGATCATCACGAAAGCCTGTCTTCAGCTGGAAGTCGAGCGTGTTCGCCAGAAGTCGAGACACCACGACGAGCGTGTGCAGCTTCATGTCTAAATCCACCTCCAGTTGAGTCTCCTTCAGCGTGGCTTCCTTGATCCCTCTAATCTTGAGAGTCACTTTCTGGATGCCGACACTTTGAACCTGCATGAAGACACGTTAACGGTCAATGTTCAGGACGTGAGAAAACATCAAATAAAGTCTTCAGATTAATGTGAGGAACATTTTATTTTAGGGGCTATTTAGCCTCAATATGATGTCTTCTGTGGAAATATCAGTTTAAACAACAGCTCTTTTCAGGTCGGCCTTGTATCAGCACATCACCATTTGATTTCTAATAGTTATTAGTCTTATTTTCTTATCTATTCATTTTATCTTATGTCGTCCTTTATTTTACCGAGAGGGATCATTACTTATTTTATTGTATTTTATTTTTATTATCAGTCAGAATTTTGAGATTTAGAGGAAAAAGTCAGGATTTGACATTTTGAGAAAAGCTGTCATCACAGATTAAACATGTCTAACTGGAGGCTGCAGGTACCTTGGTGATTTTGGTGAATGTAGTTGAGTTGAGAGACACTTTCCCACAGTACTCATTGGGCTTCATGTTGTTCAGAAGAACGACGTCTCCGACTGAAAGGTCTTTGCTCTGCTTGGTGGCCTCGTCCCACATGGTGATGGTGATTTCCTCAGCTTCCTGAATCAGTTTGAACTTTTGCTGATTCGTCTTCTTCTCCTTGTGTTCCACCTTCACTTTGTGGACGGGATCAATCTGAAAAAAAGCAGCAGAGAATTTCACAAAATGTTTAAACAAACTGCCTTTGTTTGATAAATAGAATTAGTCCATTCGTTTATCTTTAGTTATCCGTCAATAAATAGGTTTATAAGATCTTGAAAAAGCATTTAAAAAATCTAAAAGACACATTTGTTGAATGCATTACCAACCTAACCAGGCTCCATGAAGTAGGTCTGCAGTTTGAACTCACCTCGGTGACGGTTCCTTCGATGCTCACGTATGTCTGGGGAGGAGATGATTTGATGTCTTTAATGGAGGTAAGCTCAGGAGAAAGCAGTCTCTCAGCTTCTCTCTCGAACTCCTCCGGGACGATGACAGGTTTTGTTTCTGACACTTTGCTTGATGCGTTAACCTTCACATATATTCCATCTTTTATTAGATTCCTGAAGATGTAGGACTTCCCCTCTTTGATTTGTCGATGGTGATCTTCTCCGTACACCATCAGTTTGACGCTGGCCGTCTCGTCAGCGACGCCCAGATACAAATAAAACTTCCCTTTCTTTGTCTTGGTGTCGTATTTGAGCAGCCCGGATTTTTTAACAACTTTCACAACAATGGCTTCCGTCTCAAGAATTCCACTGGATTTTAGATCAAAGATGGATTTCTCCTGCACACAAAGAAAAGCCTCTCAATGAACTCTCTCTCTCAATGAACTCAGCTTTGAGACAGTAAATGTCTCAAAGCTGTAAGTGATAAATAAGAAATAAGCATTTACCCATGGAGCTTTTCCATCCTGGGAGTCACGAGTCTTCAGTTTCTAACAGGGCAGGAAGAAATATGTTTACTTTATATCACACAAAGGTTTTACGGACGTGACTCTTTAATGATGAATGTTGTGAGTTGGGTAACTGCGGTGGTCGACAGGTGCCACCACGTCTCAAACCTCTTCCTCTCCAACTCTTACCTTGACAGGTTGGCTTCCCTCCAGCTGATCTTTAACAGGAGAAACAAACATCATTCAGGGTCTCGTGATCAATCAGACTTTCAGCTTAAAATATGTCTCTTTAAGACACCCAGCCCACCGGCAGCGCTAACAGAACTGAACCTAAGGTTTTAAACAACGGACGATGCACTTGATGTGATTGGCCCTGGGAGCTCAATGTGTTTAAAGTGATGTCAAATCTACCAACACTTCACCTACCTGCTGCAGGACTGGTTCCTTCCTCCGGCTCCTCCTCACGTCTCCTTTTCATCTCTGGAACATTTAAAACATGATTTACTCAGCTGAACATGATTGTTCTACACCTATGTTTATTATGTAGCAGCTCATAGAGTCCTGTTGTGAACCCGGACATGTTGAGACCCTAACGTCTTATGTTAGAAATGTAGAGTAGGGTCCCCAACACCCCGCACTTTCATCACTTACAGCGCCCATCGTACAGGGCAAATGAAACGTGTAACCGGAGTGAAAAGGGTGTTACATTTACTTAATTTAGTGGGAATGCTGATACAGCATGTTATGCTACGGCCCTCTTCTCCTCCCACATTCAACATCGCAGAAACTCCGTTCAAACATCAAAACGTTCAGCTCGGTCGGGAATCGCAGGCTATTACTTTTATCATTCATAACTTTCATAATTCCAGAGATACATCCCATAATACATCACATTTTTAACATGGAAGTCAATGGAGAAAATCTTCAGACTTCAACAAATCTTCATGCGACTTCAACTGCTAATTCATACTTTCACTCAGAAACCTCATTCCAACTTTAAAATGTTACACATCTTTCTGACATTATTCGTGTAACACAACTTTTAAATCTGATTCTTACTTTTAGAGATATTAAACATTGTTCAGACCTTGTTAAAGAGGTTTTCTTCAGATTTTAACATTAACTAGAGTGCGTGATGTCACAGCTAGAGGGTAGGAAATCTTGAAATTTGCCTTCATATATTTTTTTTTAAACTGCCATAATTCCCAAACCCTACATTCCTGAGACATAATTTTTCATGACAAACGTAGGAAAACATCTCGTAGCTTGAAAAATGACAAATAATTAAGCAAAAAATAATTAAACAAAATGCCTCTTGAGGGCATGAAGTGACAAAAACGTTCAACATGTCTCCATTAAAACCCATTGTAATTTCAGGCTGATATTTCCTCACAGCAGCAGCCGCACACCTTTAGTTAAACTGCCAAAAAGGCCACATTATTAACCCGAAAGTACACAAAAATTACACTTCAGATACTCAACTTCCTTGACATGCTTCACGTTTTGAAATTTCACAGATATCTGTTATGGTTCTTCCACAAAACGTTCACATGTAAGAGGTTTATCTCTCATTCAGAACAATGCAAACCTTTGATCTCTGCACACCTCGTTAGCTCAACTATAAACACCTGTGTAATGGAACACGATGATGTCATCACTCCAACTGACAGCAGTCAGTTCTAACTGTTCATTTCATACTCACACTCTCTCTCTCTCTCTCTCACAATGTTCCAAACGGCCCAGAACTTCACAGGTTTGGTAACGATGCAGCCATCAACGCATCTAAGCGTATTATGGGGTGTCATCAAATGCCGTTGCCATGGCGACAGACCACTCGCCATGAAACACAATGTCGCTGTAAGTCCAATGGACACGGTCCAATCGTCCCCCAAACTTCGCTTGTATATCACCGGTCCAGCCCTCAACAGCTCTACGTCAATTATGGGGTTTCTTCAAATGCCGTTGCCATGGCAACACAATGCTCGCCATGAAACACGGTTTTCTCATAACTTCAGTGAAAATGTTCCAAACGGCCCAAAACTTCACAGGTTTGGTAACGATGCAGCCATCAACGCATCTAAGCGTATTATGGGGTGTCATCAAATGCCGTTGCCATGGCGACAAATCATTCACCATCAAGTTAGTTCAAAAGTTTGCAGTTCAAATATTCTGCTGCTTTTCCAAGCCTTTTTACTTTCTTTTCTTCTCTCATCACACATTCAAGCCCCCAGTGTTCATGTATCATTTCAATCTAAATTCTTCACTTTCTTCTTACACATTACATTTCAGCATAGCAGTTTAGCGTCAGCTTTTCAGCATAAAGCATTCCCACTAGCAATTTCTTCAGGAATTGCATTCTCTAGTTATGAATGTTGTTACATCATGGCCGAAAATTAGGATGAGCACCAACGATCAAAAATGTTTTTTCCCCCCCCAGATCTGGCGCCCTGGCTGCAACACTGAATGTAATGAATGTAGAGTAGGGTTTAATGAAAAATTAAATCGATCCAGGTCAATGCATTCTAGGGTGAAGTCATCCATCCTTACTTTGGCATTTGCCACTTGATTGACGTACAGGTAAGCCAGTCTGAGATCTCATCTTTTCTAACACGCAGTTCACCACGCATGCGCAGTCAACCGCGCCAGCAGTAAATCACCGGCGAGCTGATTACCTAGTTAGCCTTCCAATTTATACAATTCTACTAAAGAAAGGGTATAAAATTGACGTAATGACCAAAAATGTACTTGTATTGTGCCATACGCGTTCATGCAGTTATGCAAGGTACACCAACATCAGGTATACACAGTATAGAGTGGCGAAGTCCCTCCCCTTCCGGTGGACCTCCATGGGACCTTATTTCGAAAAAATTATGTATTGAAGTCAATGGAGAGAGAAAGATTATCTTTCGATCCCGTTTGAATTGTGCCACGAATTACACATATGATGTTTGTCAATTTAAAAGATAATTTTGCAAGTCAAAAAAAAAATGTGTCGTAAAACTGTGAAGTAACACTGTTGTTTGTGTGAAACGCTCAATGAACTACATCTCTGGTCACACAGAACAACACACGTCACCAAGATGGCCGTCACTACTGTCTTGTCAACAAAACGATTGACTACCCTCACTATCACCACAATGAAACACGTCCTGAAGAATGTCATGCAAACCTGCCTGCCTGCCTTCCTTTGATTCTCTCAGAACTGCCTGGTCTTTTTAATGTTTAATGTCAACCATTTGTGCAGATAGCATGAAGTAGAGAAGATCGCCGAAGCATAGCGTTAGCGTTAGCATTTCTCCCCCGGGCTTAAATTGTGTATTATAGAATGATCACACCGGTGACAGTACTATTCAAAGGGTTCACGAAATATGACTACTACTCTTACTGTTTAACATTTTGGGTTACTTAATGTTACTTCATGTTAAGGCTAATAAATATTACAAGGCTGTAATGCTAACTAACGTGCTAGCTACTAGCTAGCTTGATCCAGACACTCCTGGTCCTTTCATTAGACGGGAAGCGAAAGAACGAGCAAGACCCATTGCTGGTATGATAACAACCTGGTACTAAGCACACAGGCATCTTGTTAAAGTTATCTTATCTTAGAATCTATCTATATGACGCTGGCTATCTATATGGCGCTGATCTTAGCTATCTCTTAGTGGAGGAAAACAATTGTGACATCACTTACGCGACTCTGGGATTTGTAGTCTTTCTAGTTGCGTATTTTTCAAAGTCTTATATTTCAACAGTTTTACGACAAACTGTGACTTTTTTGACATGGAAATTATTTTTTAAGATTGACAAACATCATATGTGTAATTCATGGCACAATTCAAACGGGATCGAAAGATACGTTTTCTCTCTCCATTGACTTCAATACATTATTTTTCCGAAATAAGGTCCCATGGACCGGAAGTAGATGGGCGTGACTTCGCCACTCTATATATATAAATAAATATATGTTTAGCATTTTTAATGTAGGTAGATCATTTTGACTTGGTCATTTTAAAAGTAGCTCCCAAGCTGAAAAAGTGTGGGCACCCCTGAGTAAAGCCAATAGATCCTAATATTAAAAACTTTTATTTTGGAGAAAAAGCACCTCTGCACAGAAATCCTATTTATTCCTCCATGTGTTGAATCCGTTCTAAAATCCTCCATGGGTCCAAGAAACTTTACAAATAACGGTAATTGATTTAAGGACGAATTGATTTTCACCTCATCACTCAGTTACTTAACGGCTTTCATATAAATGTACTAGTTGTGTAGGCTACTGGTCATGCTTCAATTTATTTACCTAAGACATGATACAGGGATGCAAACTCATCAGGTATGAAAAAGGTGACAAGGATCCGACCCCACGGAATATCGGCTTTAAAATGAGGAATAACAGAGGATTTTAGCAGTCAGAACAACTAAAGCAGTTAATAATAACAGAAATGCCAAAGAGTCACATCTAATAGAAATGTATAAAAGCATTTATTTGAATTGTGTAGCAGTCAGTTTATAATTTTGGCAGCACTGTTGAGCATTTTGAAAATGTATTTTCATGCCTCTGTGCAAGGCTTAGTCTTTCTATCTTTATAGCCAGTGGTGTAAAGTAACTAAGTTCATAAACTCAAGTACTATACTTGGGTACAATTTTGAGATACTTGTACTTTATTTAAGTATTTCAATGTGTTGCTAGTTTGTTCTTCTACTCCACTACAGTTCAGAGGTAAATGGTGTACTTTTACTCCACTACATGTATTTAATAGCTTTAGTTACTTTACAGATCTGGATGAATGATGTGAAATATAATCAAGTGTTAAATCAGACTTTAGTTCCACCTGGAGTAAATTCTCAAGCTACCCTGCAGTATACAAAGTCATTCAAACTAGCTGCACCTTTACCAGCTTTGAGAACACTTTCATGATCAATCATTATAAAACATATCATATATATTATTCTGAAATGGACCAATCTGCACAACGACTACTTTTACTGTCGCTACTTTAACTATATTTTGATGAGAATACTTTTCTACTTTTACTTGAGGAACATTTTGAATGCAGGACTTCTACTTCTACTCAAGTACAAGACCTGAGTACTTCTACTTTTACTCAAGTACAAGACCTGAGTACTTCTACTTTTACTCAAGTACAAGATCTGAGTACTTCTACCTTTACGAACAAGATCTGATAATAGTAAATAGATGTTAGTTTTAAGCATACTGGTGTTGAGGATGGAGTACAAATATCGTTTATCATTATTATCCTATTTTGTAGGTGTGCACATGTCACCAGAGTCCGTCAGAGGCTCCGCCATGTAGGGCTTCTGTTTGTAGAAAGTTCCAGTGAAAAATAATAACTTGAGAAATCTCATGTGCCCCCCCGCCCCCCCCGTTACCAACACATGGACCAACCAGCGATAATCATTCTTTGGGCATAAAGACAGATTTATTCTGCAACCAAAATCTGTGACAATATAAAATACAATTATTCAAAGTGATGATTAGAAAAATAGAGAGATTAAGAATAATAAAAAAGATAGAATGCATTTTAAGAAAACCCCCCCCACCTGAGTTTTGATGTGGAGTCAACACAAGACGCTTCCTCAGGGTGTGCCTAATTTCGGGCATCTGCTTTACTGGACCACAGCTCCGACCACGCCACAAAACATCCTCTTTCCCGGCTACTTCATTGTTTACACGGCGGAGTATGACACCAATTTCTTCATTCCTAAAAAAATATGAGGGGTAGAAAAACATGTTATCACATGATGGTCACATTAAGTCGAGGGTAAAATATATATGTTAACGATTTTATCATCAGATTTAGATCTACAAAATCTTTTGGATATTTCAATAACTATATAACTAATGTTGAGTCTGACATTCACCTCTGACAGCCCTCTTCTAGCTGCTCACAGAAAGATTGGATGAACCAGCTCCCCTTCGTTGGGTCTCTCATAGAATAATAATCTTCAACAGTGGAACTATGAACTAGAAAATCTGCTTCCTGAGGGATGGATGTCGAGTCAGAGCCATCAGCCTGCAGTGTCGAGTGAGAGTCATCAGTCTGCACACCGTCTGATAACACCCCAGGATGTATCTGCCGCCCCTGGCAGGCCTGGATCAGGAACACTTTGGGCTTGGCAGTGAGGGGAGATTGACGAGTTGCCATGAAGGGTCTCGTTATTTGTTTGATAGGGAGGGGCTTCCTATCAGTCCCCGATACACTGCCCTTGTCTCCATGACTGAGAACACAGCAGAAGAAGGCATCGCCATGCTGAGGAGCCTCTAGAAGATCGGTGAATTCGCTGCCAGTCCACTCCTTGACATTGAACTCCTGCAGCTGAGAAAGGCCCCACTGAGAAGCAAAGCATTCCAGCACTCGCTCCATCTGGTTCTTAGTTTGGTCTTTACACATCAGCACTCTGAACCCCAGCCAGCTGAACACCTTTGCCAAGCTTCCTGCAGTGAAATAAAACCTAGTTAGGCTTCAACAGGCAACACCGGGATGATAATATACATCTGTCAACTCTGTAACATACCAGCATCTTTATCGGTTCCACGTCTCACGTCACCATCACTAAAATGTTCATTGTTTATGATCAGGCAGAGGCCGGTGGGCTGGCTGTTCAACTCATACTGCCCGTCCTGAAAACAGAAACAATTTCACACAAACACAAAATGGACATGTGGACAAAATCAAATATATTTACACATAAAGGTTTTTGATGAATAATAATAGCTATGTGGATATAATTGCTAAATAGTGCTGCAGATAATTACATATATTAATAAATATTCCAAAAGTGGATGCAAGTGCTCAAAACAAACAAACTCCTTTGAGTTTACTCTTTTGAAAAAGCCCGCTTGCCACTCAAAAGATGGCGGAAAAGGTCTAAAAATTCAGACGTCAGGAATGACTCAGAAGTTGTCTAAGCCGTAACATTTAAATAATCTGCCAATAGAAAACTGGGTAGCCAACATGCAATGCAGCTGTAGGTGGTGGAGGTATTTTGGGGTGTAGGAGTGTAGTACTGTAGAGGTACACAATGATGGTGTTCAGTGTTGGTAGCTTGCTAACATAGAAGACTCTTATTAGTATAAGTGTGGTTTAGTTTCCCAAATGCTTTCTAATAAGCCCCACATTGTAAAATTCTGTGTTTAAAAGGACAGAACATCGCTCTGAAATGTTTTCTAAATAGTGAATTTGGCTGTAACTCAAAACCAAAATCACAGAATTTGATCGAGTGGTGAAAATGTTAAAATACTGGGTGTTTCTCAATGTCGAGGACGCTTCCTTGGTAGGACATGTCCCTCCGAGTCAGGTCCTTCAGAAGCGAGGCAAGAATCCTTCCTAGAAAACGAAGAATGGTGGAACAGGCTAACAGGCTAACAGGTGTGCGTCATATGAGAGGCCCCGCCTTAAATGGAGCGCAATTTCCACCAAAGCTTTTGGAAATTGGTCCGTGCGCAAAGCATTGTGGGGATTTTAAGACCGCGGAGGATACACATGTGCAGCCTCGAAATGTCCCGCAACAAAGGACTCCGGCCTCGGTAGAATTCCAAGCATCCTGGACATTGGAACAGTCCTTCGGCGGCACTCGATGACGTAGCATCCTTGAAATGGTGGCTCTGCAGCAGCCTTCCTCGACATTGAGAAACACACAGTGGGTGTTTCTCAATCGCGAGTACGCTTGCTTGGTAGCACATGTCTGCCGAGCATCTTGCTTCAGAAGCGAGTCAAGAATACTTCCTGACATTTGGAAAACAAAGAGTGGAACAGGCTAGCAAGTGTGCAGGTGTGCGTCATATGAGAGGCCCCGCCTTACATTTTCCGCCACAGATTTGGGGAAATTGGTCCGTGCGCAAAGCATTGTGGGGATTTTAAGACCGCGGAGTCTACTCATGTGCAGCCTCGATATTTCTCCAAACGGAGTACGCCGGGCTCGGTAGATTTCCAAGCATCCTGGACATTGGAACAGTACTTCGGCGGCACTCGATGACGTAGTATGCTTGAAATAGTGGCTCTGCAGCAGCTTTACTCGAGATTGAGAAACACCCACTGTTTACTTGGATGGAAATGACGGCCATCTTGGAAATTGGTCGCATTCTTTTTCAAAATGTAATTGGCCAACGGATTTTTTTTTTTTAATAAATTGCGCCAGAGGGATGAACAATAAAATGTTGGTGCTTGAATCAACTTATGAAAGATGTTTACATCTATATGCAGCACTATAAGACAAATAATAGAACAGAAAGAAACATGTATGTAAATTCAGAAATTAACATGGAAATGACACTTACACAATATTACCATGTCAGAAATGAGAAGATATCTAGTCCCATTTTAACTTTACTTTTTACCTTTACTATTCTTAACTAGTTTGAATCTTACCCTAACAGTGTTACAATGCTACTATTCTAGATATTAATACAGGTTTTGTGTCTTTTTTACAAAGGCTAACTAAAAGCCCTGACGCAAGCATTTTAACATTAAGTATGATTTTTCAATATTAGGTTATCTCACCTCGTCTCGCATTTGTGGCTGATGATCTGCGGGAAACAGAGGGAAACAGAAGGACACTTTACAAACATAACATTTTAAAATGCCAACTTCACAGTAACACACATTTAGCATGCGTATTAGCCCCTCCAAATGTCTGTGCACGTCCCTGGTCTCCAGCACATAGAAACTGCCGGATGCTAACCTGCATATGTAGGGCAATTTGCACAAGTTGCATTTACTAGCATATGCAGACAATATCTAAAAAATGGCTTGGCTGATTTGGACAGTTTTTGAAGATGCTGAGTCCATTTCTGACATTTTCAGGATCAAATGTGTCAGTTTTAACGAGAAAGCGGCCATATCTGTACTCTGTGGACTGATTCTGATACATTTTTGCTCAATTTGGAAGATGTATTGGACTCTGGATCATTTGAATTGGACAGATCGCTTATTCAAAGTAAATAGTTTACAGTAGAGTTAATAATGTTCACCTTGTGCTCGCTAAATCCAATCCAATGGTCACAACATCATGGTAGTAGTTTTTTTAAGAACTTGCTTTGAAACACATCTTTGAAGTATAAACCCACACTTGAGTAAAGTGTTATTGAGCAACTGAACATAGGCGTGGGATGAATTATATGTGTGGATTTCCTCACCATGCTGCTGTTTCTCCGGTTTGCTCTTCACTTTCTGAACGTAGGGTTTCAGCGGACTCTGGGTCCGATCAACCATCCTAGGTATCTCTTGCATCCCTCTCTCCATCTCGAGGATAGCATTTTCTTTCCCGTAGATTTTAATGATCTTCCCAGGCATCTCTTCTTTGGACCGGCCGGCCTTCAGATCTCTCTTCCACTCTTCCTCTGAGATTTCCGACATCTGAAACACCAGAGAAAGGAAACGGTTTGTGCTGGTTTTCACACACTCTGTAGAATAATCTCTGCAGCTCCACTCCGAGATGTTAACGGATATTCTGCCTTCAACAAATGTCCTGCGATTTGGATATTGTTGTGTATATGTTAAGTCAATGGTAAAGTAAGTCCCAACACATTGAACCACTTTAAATTCAAAGATAAGAAGATAACCACACAACCAATATCTGTATAAAAGAAAATCAAAAAGGTAAATATTGGAATCTCCATCAAAATCCATCAATTCACAATCCAACTCAAAGACCGCTTCGGCTTTTTTTCAGAATATTGATTTAACAAACAGTAACTAAGTACATTTACTCAAGTACTGTACTTAAGTACTGTGTAAGGATGCCACCTGGTAACGATGCACCTGGTAAGGATGCCACCTGGTAACGATGCACCTGGTCAAATGCAACCTGGTAAGGATGCCACTTGGTAAGAATGCCACATTGTAAGGATCATTTTAGCCGGCCCGGCTAAAATAACTGGATGGCCTACCTGCCTGTCAGCCTTCCATCTGTGCACAAACTTATCTCGTGCCCTCATTGGTCATGTGCGCGTTTGTGTGTGTTGGAGGAGGGGCTCTGTAAGGAAGTGGCAGATTTTCTCCGGTTGTGTATTTTCAAATTCTAGCGATCTCGAGCTGGTTTCTCCAAACTTACCTACCCTACCTTTAAGGTGTGCCTTGGAAATACGTGGTTACATTTTTTTGATGGCTTCATTGTATGATCATATGACAGATGAACAGATCGCCACTGGGTTTACAACTAAAGACACAGCTATGCAAAATACGCAGCAGGTGATCAGCTCTTGATGTGTACTGCAATTTTTGAAGTGCCGGAGCGGCGTTCCAGTGCGCTCCGGCAGCACTACACCCCTGATTATTGATATGTATATATTTATATCCTCTACTGCTGATATGTACGTATATCTTAAAGTAGACCTATTATGCTATATTGGAAAAATATATTGTAGGACCATACCTATAAAAAACATGTCTGTTAAGTGTTTTGCTTAAAATAGCAAACAGATCACCCGTTGTAGCCATGCCTCATACTGCTCAAATCCCTTTTTTGCAGCCCTGTTAGAGAAAAGCGGATTTTGGGTCCTTAGCTTGAAAAAAAAGAAAGAAGAGGAGGCGGGGCTAATGCCTGATCAGAATTCTACCGGAGATAGAAGTTAAATTCTGCTGTGATAAAACGCCATCCTGTTCTAAACCACATCAAGGATTATTTCTGAAACAGTATGGAGCTCAAATGCTTTTTCTCTTGCAGGTTTATCACAAGGTGAGTTCCTTTTTTTAATTTCCTGCTTTTTAAACACATGCGCTCTCTAGTACAGGTTAGCTCTGAGTGTTAGCGAGGCTTGCTATTGTAAACAAAGACGAGATTACGTCCAAAACACGTCAGGCACTGTTTCTGATAGCAACACTCTGTGGGTCCGCCTCCGATTTGACGTCATATCGGCAGAAAATCTGTATCTGCTCGTTGTACCCCCGTTTTTAAAAGATTTGGGTGCGGAGGAAAAGAGAAAGGGTTTTATTTTCTGACGCTGCGTGAGTTCCCCGGCACACCGGGGACACATATTTATGTATAAAAGACATGATAGGTCCCCTTTAAATCTTAAATTGTATTGTATTTACCTATAATTCATGTCTAATGTCTTATCTATGCTGCTGTGATTGTAACATGTCCCAAATAGGGATCAATAAAGTGTATCTAATCTATCCTCTTACTCACGGTAGTCAGTCCTTCCAGTCCGGGTTTTTAGAGGAACCAGTGCGGGTTTTCTGGGTGATTGAAAAAGATGGACCTTTATTAATCCCCCGAGGGGGCTGCTGGAGATGTACAATAAGATCTGGGAGAAAGGAAAGCTGCCAATAATACGGAAAGAGTCTGTCATTATTCCTATTAGAAAACCTGGGAAAGATCCAACCAGTCCAGATAGTTATAGACCTATAGCTCTGACATCGCACTTATGGAAAGTTATGGAAAGAATGATAACAGAAAGGCTGATGTACTATGTAGAAAAAAATGAATGAATGACTCCTTATCAGAGTGGGTTTAGAAGAGGGCGGAGTACTTTAGATCCACTGCTGTGCCTGGAATCTGAAGTTAGGAAAGCTAAAGCGAACAAGGAGTGTGTTGTAGCTGTATTCTTTGATGTGGAAAAAGCTTACGATATGATGTGGAAGGAAGGATTATTAATAAAACTGGACATCATGGGTCTGGGAGGTAATGTATATAATTGGATTATGGATTTTTTGTTTGGCCGTGCCATCAGAGTCCGAGTTGTCCTCTTTTGTTTTCTATCATGATAAATGATATATATACACAAGTAGGATCTGATATTGGTAAGTCACTTTTTGCAGATGATGGAGCTATTTGGAAAAGGGGTAGAAATGTAAATTATATTGTTGGTAAGATTCAGGAAGCCATTACGGAGATTGAAAGCTGGTCTCTGACATGGGGGTTTAGATTGTTGGTAGAAAAAACTGAAACTTTATTTTTTATGAGAAAAAGGATAGGTGAGGAGGTTAGGTTAAAACTTTATGGACAAGAAATAAAGAAAGTGAAGACTCTTAAGTTTCTGGGAATATGGTTGGACGAGAGAGTCACATGGAGTACTCACATTGATAAAGTAGTAGATAAATGTAAAAAGGTTTTAAATGTTATGTGGTGCTTGGCAGGAACTAAGTGGGGGGCTGATAAAGCTGCTTTGAGGAACGTATACACAGCCCTAATTAGATCAGCCATAGAATACGGACTAATAGTGTATGGTTCAGCTGCATACTCTACTCTACACAAAGAGACAGAGTCCAGGCACAAGCACTAAGGATATGCTGTGGGGCAGTCAGATCTACACCAGTGTCGGCACTTCAGGTAGAGTTCGGAGAAATACCAATTTCTTTGAGGAGAAAACAGTTCATTGTTAACTACTGGGCAAATCTACAGGGCCATGAAGATACTACCCTACTAAACAAACTGTAAAAACAAGTTGGGAAAGTAACAAAATTAAAAAAGAAAGTTTTTGTGTTTCGGAGTTATGTAAGGAATTCAAAGTTAAAGAATGGAATATTAGTCCGACTGTGTTGATATCAGCTGTTCCACCATGGTTACTACCTCAACCTGTAGTAGATTTATCCTTATTGAAACGGTTACATTCAAAGAAAAATAAAATCAACGTGCAGGCTTATGTGAACACTGTTCTACATGAACAATATGGGCAGTTTATACAAGTATTTACTGATGGATCCAAAAGTCCAGAAAATGGTAAAACTAGTTGTGCATTTTATGTTCCTGAGTTAAAGGTCAAAGTGGAAAAGCGAGCGAGTGATCACATTGCAGTGTACACAGTGGAGATGATGGCTATCTCACTAGCACTTCAGTGGATAGAGGAAGTACAGCCAGCCAATGCGACCCCCCTAAAATTCAAGGCGTTTAAAAAAAAAAAAAAAAAAAAAAAATCTTTTTAAAGAAAATTATTTGGTGATATATATGTATATATCACCAAATAATTGTCTATATATATATATATATATATATATATATATATATATATATTTCACGTTTTTAATACTCTTATCAACATATGAGTGGACAAATATGCTTTATATGTTTGTTTATTATCATTTGAACAATGACAAATATTGCCATGAATATTAAACACAACAACCTCTGAACATTACAAATATTCGCCTCAATTCAACCTGGAACCTCTCTCATACAATAATACTGTGTGTGTGTGTGTGTGTGTGTGTGTGTGTGTGTGTGTGTGTGTGTGTGTGTGTGTGTGTGTGTGTGTGTGTGTGAGAATGTTGAGACACTGTGATGGATCGTTGGAGCTATGTGCAGCTGCTCAAGGCATATATGCTCCAACGGGAGCTGCCTGGATGCTGCAATCATGTTGCGCGTACTATCCGTGCTGAGTGTGCTGACTTTTCGTACAATGTCCCACTGTCTGGCTACCTGCATAAAGTCAAGTGCTCGGCGCAGTTGTCGGCGAAATGTCATTGAAAAAGCTCCTTATATCCGTTAGCGCAGCTAGCTAGCACCAGATGCTAACAACAACAACACGTAAGGTGTGCCTCGCTCGCGTGAGTCGCGCCACACATACACACTCTCCCGGTCCTCCCGATGGCCAGTCCGGGCCTGCCGGTGGGCGTGGAAGTGTGGTCTGCCACAAGCGGGCGGCAGGAGTAGGGCTGTCAGCATCAGCTTGTAGATGGTATTTTAAACTCGATGCGCTCTGAAACTACGGGGCGGCCGAGGACAAAAAATACACATGCGTTAATCGCGTTAAAATAATTAGTGGCGTTAATTTTTGTTTGCGTTAACGCGTTATTAACACGTTAACTTGACAGCCCTAATATATATATATATATATATATATATATATATATATATATATAGCACCGAATTGCAACTAATCTATATCTACTGTCACTTTTCACATTGAACATGTGCTCTTTTATTAAAGTGGACCTATCATGCTATATTTGAATAATATAGTGTAGGACCATACCTATATAAGGCATATTTATACTTTTTTCTTTTCAAAATACCAAACAGATCATGCATTTTAGCCATGCCTCATTTTGCTCAATTTGCACTTTTTTTTAGCTCTGCTCTGCAAGGGCAGATTCAGTGAGAACAGCACCATCTACTGGCCTGGCATATGTACTACAGCGTCTCCAGCGCTTTCGAACGGCAATGGCCGTGGCTGTCTCCTCCTGATTGGTGGAGTTGGCCCAATACCCGTAGCGCCACTGTCCTGACGTCAGGACAGTGTTCAAATCTGGATCAGTTTTTATCAGATCTGTTGCAGCCCCTTTTTTAGAGATTTGGTTATGGAGGAAAATAGAGAGGGTTGTTTTCTGACACTTGGTGAGTTCCCTGGAACACCGGGGACACATATTCATGGATAATAGACGTACAAAAGTGCATTTTGCATGATAGGTCCCCT